AAATTGGACTTAGACTAGGTAAAACCTGCTTGGTGAAATGTAGTTTATATAGATTTAAGCATATTCCATGAACTTCACAGAACAGATTTGGCAGATGAACATCACTGAAAAATAATGCTTTACAACTTCTAGAAAAGTTACTAGCATCAGGTATGTGCATAAATAGTGTATGTTGCTCTAGAACAAAAGATAATTTCTATTGTAAGTATTCTGTGAGTGTGTAGATATATAGAGATATATATGTGGAGATATGTATGTGTGTATATATATAAAATAATACAGTCATGTACAGAGGGTGTAAAAAAGAAAGTGTAGTAGTCCCTGTATGAAGTCAATATGTACTGTGCTTCCTCAAGGAAAATGTGAGTATAAGATGAAGTGTTGGTGGAAGCATTGGGCATATATGAATACCTAGCTGCATTTTCTCTAGCCTTGCATTAACACATACCAAGGAAAGTAACTCTCTTAAATCGAAACAACAGCAGTAGTTTTGATAAGTGTCAGCTAATTTCTAAGCATTGCTGAAGGCAGTGTATTTAAACAGCCTTACAAATGCAGAGGAGAAAAAAGCTCCGTAAAGGAACACTGTATCTGTTTGAATTGAAATTGCCAGAAGGATTTTGTACAAGGAAGATGATTCACTTTTGTAACAGCTGTTCCAGAATAAGTGGCAGAGATTTCAGTATTCTCTGCCCATCTGTGTGTCTTTCTTGAGAACTGCAGCATTCATGTGTACGTGAGGTTAACTGCTTGTCGTGTTAATAGCAGCAATACATCTTCAAGGTCAAACGCTGTACAAGGTTCTGAAGTGTTAGTCATTTATGTAAATAGGAATGGCTAGATAAGCTAAAATACAGCTATTTTTCTGAAGAGTTTTACGTTCTTATGCTCCAAAAATATCTTTGTTTCCTCTTCTCTTCTGTGGGTTTTGTTTGCAGCTGTGGGAAATTGCACTCAAAGTTGTCTTTTTTCGGAAAGCAGGCAGAAGTGTGCTCATTCTCATGTCCTATAGTAAAGAGTTCAAAGCTGTGTAACTGAGAGTCTTATTTCCTATTCTTTAGTTTCTCAAGATTGTGGCTGCTGAGGAAAGCTCGCGTGGCAAAGAGAAAAATGCTGCTGAGATACCTTGGGCCATTTCTGTGGAGTGGAGCATCATGTGAGCTAATAAACTGGCCTTACAGTTTGTCTGAAAGCAGTGAAATGAGTGATATCTTAAGTGAATATGTTCTTGGTGACTGCTGAAGAGGCGCAGTTGTGTTTTGGTGCAGCTGGAGTGTAGTTCACTGCTGAGATCCTTGTGTTTAAGGTAGTCCAATGGAAAGATGCAGAGAAGGAGGTGGCAAAGTCAGGGTGATAGATAAAGCATTGGATAGATCTTTTGCATTTTTCCTGGATGTCAATACAATGAATTTCTGCTTCATGAGGCTAAATCTAGAGCCTTAAGCCATCCAGAAATCCTGGACTACATGTCAGACTTGTCACCAGATGATCACCCTGTCCTGTGTGGCCTCTCTTCTGGGTGAGAGCAGGAGGGCTGGAAACCCTCTGATAGTAAAAGTAAAAGCTGAAAAAGTGCAATTCTGTAGCAAGAAATTAATTCTGCCTCTGCAGTGGTAATAATCTCTGTAAGGTTTGCCCAGCAGATGCCAGCAGTGAATTAGTGCAGAGCTTGTGGAAAAATAAAAGGAGCTGAATATGTAACTGTTGCAAATGTTTCACTGCTTAAAGCATTGATTGCTTGAAATAGATTAATTTTTTTTTATTAAGATTAATTTTTACTTTGAAGATCCTCATTTTATTCTCTGAATCCCTGAGAATAGTGTGTTAGACTGTCTCTGTATACAAGTCAGAGAACAATCAGGTTTAGATTTGGTCCACAGTTCATAATAATGGCCCTCCACATAAACAATGGGATTAAGTTACTTATTTCAAAGATGTTTTAGTTTTAGCCTTTTTCCGTCTTATATATTTTTTACCTGCCCTGTTCTCTTCCTGTTTACTGTCCTGTTCAGAGTAAGAGCATAACTCTTCTTGTTTACTGTCCCTCTCAGTTTGAATTACAAATTTGACCTGACATTAAGCTGTTCCTTTTTGTATTGGAGGAAAAAAAAACCCCAACAATCTAAGTCATATGGTATTATCCTTCACTTTCATTGAACCATCTGGACTCCTGGAGCCAGAGCTGAAAACTGTCAACATCTCTTGATGCAAAGCAAATAGACTTAGCTAAAAGGGAAGTTCAAGCTGGAGAATCATCCTGTAGAAAGTTTAGAGTAGTTCAACACTGGAGGAAGGAAATCATTATCTGTCAAAAGAGACCCATCCTGCCCAAAAGCCCTAGCATTAGATATCTAATGCTGTTCCTTTAAAGATTAGGGTCATATTCAAGATTTCAGTGGAAATCAGATTTTGGTTTTACTAAAGTTTATTTTTGGTTTGCTGTTTGCAAAACTTATGTTCCAAACAAGAGGAAGAGGACTAGACTCTCATATCAGGACTTCCTTAATTTGAGGAAACTACAAGGAGGACTTGTTACTGCATGGATCACCCCCTCAATAATAAAATTGATACACAATGATTTTATGATACACATAATACAAGTCAATTCCAGGTCCTTCTGAACTGTACAGAATATAATGTGTTATCCACATAATTATGTTGATGACTGTGACTATGTACCTTTTTAAAAAGATTTCCTTGAATCAAGGTGTTAAATAATACAAATAAAGTAAGACTGTCACGTCACAACGTGGTTGAAATGCCTTACGATTTGGGCTTTCATGTAGGATCATAAACACTGAAAAAACGGAGTTCACTAGTAATATTTATTCTTTACCCTTAAAAGATTCCTATTTGAAACTGTAAAGACCCACTGAAAAGTAAACTCATGTCACATGGAACTGAAGGTTCATTACAAATAATGATCATTATACGAGTCTAGATTATTACTTCTCATTTTATGTTCTTGGCAATTAGTATCTCTCATTTAAAATATTTATTTTTCCTT